CAACAACATGGACGAGATCGGTTTTGACTACTGCATCATCTGCTCGGGCTGCAATTTTGGACCCTTCAAGCCTATGGGCGAGAGCTTGTGGTTCCCGACCATTCATGAGGATGCGAGGCCCCACAGCGAGTGGAAGCACATCGATGAGCGATTCCTTGAAGGCCGCCGGCGCCATGTCCTGGAAGAGTATCACAAGCTGCAAGATTTGAATAAGAAGAAGGCCACCATTCTGGTGGTCGGTGCTGGCTTCATTGGCGTGGAGTGGGCCACGGAGCTAGAGCACTTCTTCCCGGATCTGAAGCTGACCATCATCGACTTTCTACCCCGCTGCTTGGGGCCACTGCCGGACAGCGCGGCAGACTACTGCTCTGAGTACATGAATGCCTGCGGCATCAAGGAGTTCTACAACTGTGGCTACGACCCCAAGAACCCTGATTTCTGGAAGAAGGTTGAGCTGCCGAAGGGTGCCGACGAGACCTACGTGTGCATCGGCGTCAAAGCTTCAAACTATTTTATGCCCAAGGACACTTTGTCGGACAAGGGCCCTGGTGGAGGTGGCTGGATTCATTTCAACAAGCACCTCCAAGTCACCAAGAAGCCCAGCGAGGGTGGTGGCGTATGGGCTGACGGAACCATTTTTGCCGTTGGCGACTGCAACTACGGCTGCATCGGTGAGCCAGGAAAATGGGAGATGCCGCCGGTGCCCAAGATCTCCTATCCCGGTGAGGAGCAGGCATACCACGCATGCTTGAATGTCATGAAGCTGCAGAAGGGCAACAAGAATCTGGTAAAGACCTGGTGGCCTTGGGGCGCCGGCATGTTTGCCACAAGCCTGGGTCCACATGATGCTTGCTTCGTAGTGGCGGCGAACGAGAACAAGGGCTCTGGATACATGGTAAACTGGTGGATCCCGGCTGCTCTGCAGAAGGACGGGGATGAACAGCTGGCGTTTGTGCCTAAGTAAGATCCCACATCAAGTTTAAAGGCTGGAAAGCCAAAAGAAACAGCATCAAAAGCAACAGAGATCCTGGAGTTTCTTCTGTGATCAGGAGATCATCGAGACCACGAAGATTGATGAGTGCCGGGATCGGTGGATCGGTATCCTGATCTGGCACTTCGTGCACCACACGCCTGTACATCTCTTCGGTCGTGGTCCTTGGTTTGTTTGAAGACCTGACCATGTGCCTCAGGCATGGTGGTCTGCTTCTAACTTTTTTCCTCTGCGCTC